CAAAAAAAAAAAAAAAAAAAAAAAAAAAAAAAAGAATAATATAAATTATATGTAAGAAAGAAATAACAATATTTATTCTATCATAAATATATATCTATATATATATATGTTATTTCTTATAATTATATAAATATTACTTTAGTTAATGGTATATCTTCTTCATTTTTCATTTTATACATCTGAAAGCAACAAGATACTGGGTTGTGATCACTAGCCGTTAAAATACCTAAAAGCAAAAAAAAAAAATTAGAAATGTCATCATGTAATGTATATATATATATGCATAAGAATAAATATAAGAATAATTATTTAATGAATATTAATTACTTTTTTCTTCAGGTATTGGAGATATATATGAGTTTGGAATAAATGCTAAACAATTTTTTGTTTTTTCACATGACCACTTAAAAATTCTATCTGTCCACTATAAAAAAAAAAAAAAAAAAAAAAAAAAAAAATACAATATTTGAATGTATAATTATAAATAGGTAAATAAATAAATAAATAAATAAATATATATATATATATATATATATATATATATATATATATATATTACTGATGGTATTCGTGGTTCTTGTTTTCCTCCTTTATACCATTTTATATTATGAATTAATTTATATTCTTTCTCAACCCACTTGTTATCATTTTTATTAATAATTGGTCTACCTCCTTTTTTTTTATAAGTAGGCAAAAAGTTGATAGGCAATTCTTGAAAGCTTATAGATAAATCACATGAATAAGCAGAATGACCTTCATCATGTTTTAGTAATTCTTTTAAATTGTTAGTTTTTAGATAATGAATTACTTTTTCCAAATGTATTCCATGAACTCTAAAATTAAAATCACCCATCCAAATAACATGATGAAATACATCTTTAAAATTAGAAGTAGCTTTATTACTAAAATATTCACTTAATTTTGTTAATATAAATTCTCTTGATTTCTGTCTTAATTCTTGATCTTTCGCAGGCATATGGCAACCAATAAATAAAATAAACTGATTAAAAATATTTAATAATATAGAAACACATCCTTTACTATTATTTAATTTATTAAAAGATATAGATTTTGATGCACATAATTTAACTGGACCATTTGGATATAATTTGGTTTTTCTTACCCATGCGGCTATAGTTGTTGATTTCATTTGTAGAAAGGCTCCATCTCCATATCCTGATAATTTATAGTCAGCTAATGGTAAAAATACATAAGTCTCTTGGTTTACTTCTTTTAAATACATAGATAAATATTCCACTATATTATCAGATATAGATTCTTGCAAACAAATTACATATATATCATAATAAGGTTGTATCCAGTGAGAAAATAGAAATCCTTCTTTTGATTTTGATGTTGGACAATAATTTTTTTTAATCTGTAAAAAATCATAACTTTTTTCTAATTTGTGTTCATTATTTTCTATTTTTAAATTTTTTAAATTTTTTAAATCAATGATTTCATCTTTATTTCTAAAAAAATTTTCATTTAACGATAACTCCCTAACATGATCATCACCGGGAACTCTTAATGTATCGTAACTTTTTTTTTTTTTATTAATTTCTATGTCACCCTTTTTATTAAAATTCATTTTTCCATATTTGTTATTACTGTTGTTATTATCTGTTTTACCGTTCTTATTAATAATTGTTATATCCATATTATGATGAAATTCAGAATTGTATTCTAAATTTTTCCTATTATAGGAATTTTTCAAATCAAAATTACCATTGTATGATATTTTTTTATTTTCTTTATTTTCTTTAGTTATATTCTGACTATATTTGCTATCTTTACAATCGTTTGATCTGTTTCGTCGTTCCTTTTTATTAAAATAAAAGCTATCTAATTTTTTGGTGGAATCAAAACATATTAAAGGTGTTACTGCTCTAACGGAATATCTATCATTCATTTGTGTTGAATACATATTCTCCTTCGTATTTTTTTTTAAATAATTCGTAGTATACCGTTTTTTATCATAATGATAATCTTTTGAAAAATCAAAATATTCACAATTCCATGTCCCTACATATATACTTAATGGTAAATTTTTGATAATATTAGAATCATCTGTATCTAAATCTTTTCTTCTGTTAGTGAAATAATTATAACCTATTACATTTTTTTTTTCAAATTTAGCTAAATTTTTATTATTACTACTTAGGATACTAATACTAGCAGTTTGTTTTTTAAAATTAGAAGAATATTCATCTTTAGACTCATTACATATCTTATTATTATTACTAGTTAATCTTATATTTTTGGATTTATCATTCTGAAAATTATTTTTATTAAAATTTGCACTCCCTGGTGCTTCACTTCGACTTCTATATCTATGAATTAATGGAGAATTAGTATTACTTATAACATTATTAGATTTTGAATTATTATCTTCGTTAGATAGGTGTAATTCGTTTTTTACATTGTTGATAAGGAGAGTTGTGGGCTCCTCTGATATTTTACTTTTTGAAAAAACTGATTCATTTTTATTATTAATTGTTAAACTAATTTTTTTAGGAAAATCATCGCACATTTTTTTTTTTTTATTTATTTTTTAAATTTAATTAATTATAAATGAATTATCTCTAAATAATTTGTGTTTATCTTTTTATAAATTTAATTAAGAAATATCATAATTTTTTTTTTTTTTTTTTTTTAGACTAAAGTTATTTTTTATAAAACCTACATAACATTATAATAAATATAAATTTTTGTAATTAAAATTTAATTAAAATAAAATACTTTTTTTTTACTCCTAAAAACAAGTATTTACAAAAATATTAAAATAATGAATAAAATAACAAATGAATACTATATTTATATATATATATATATTATATATAAAAATGAATTTTTAATTAATTTTTATTCCACATAAATATAATACATGTGTATATATATGAAGAAAAAAATTAAGTTCTACTTAAAATGTTTATTAATTTTTTTTTAGTAAACGTAACATATATATATATATCTTTAACATATTTATTATATTAACTCTTATTACTTTAACAACCCTAACTAAATTGTATTTAATTTATTTATTCAAAAATTAATTCTAAAAGTGTACATAAAAAAATTATATAGAAGATTTTTCTTCTTTATTATTTAAAACATAACAATTAGTTTAAAAATAAAAGAAAAATATATATATATACATGCTATATTTAAAAAGTATTTTTTTCTTAATATTCATAAGAATAAAACATACTATCTATTTCTAATTTATATATAAATCTATAAGGGAATATAAATATAAAGAAATTAATTTTCTGTAGTATTAATGAATTTAAAATTAACTTAAAAAAATATATACAAAAAAAAAAAAAAAAAAAAAAAAAAAAAAAAAAAAAT